GTCACGTACTCACAATTGTTTTCTAGTGATCCACATCCCTCCTACTCACCTAACTACTTCAGTGTCCACATATAGAAGGCTAGTTAGATTCCTTTTGTATGATTTTACAGGCTTGGGGGAATTCATTAAAAATATACATATTACTGTGCTAAATTCACAAGTTGATGAGTAAGGAAGTAACTTCACCTGGAAAAGAGTATGCTTGACCATTTTGGTCAACATATAAGAGTTACCATTGGTGTGAGGAATTGAAATTTGTAAATTTTTCTAGCTTCAAACCAACACAAAATTCGCTCTTGTACCTTCCCCCATTTAGTAAAAGAAAACATCATTAATTCTTGTTGGTTTCATCATGTTATGTTATTCAGTACAAAACTTTATTTACTATTATGTGGTTAATTAATTCCTGATGAATTTCTTACTAATTATAGGAAACATCGATAATAATAATTGCTAGATATTATCAAAGTATTCTAAAAATATATATGAAAATACAGAAAGCTACACATATGGTAAGAAAAGAAATCATACTTTCTTTTCTAGGTCAGAGAGATAGTATAGCATATAGGGCACTTTCCTTGCACTTGGCCAACCCAAGTTCTATCCCCAGAACCCTATTTGGTCCCCAGAGCACTGTTAGAAGTAATTCCCAACTGCAGACCCAGGATCACCAGATGTGATCAACAACAAAACAAAAACAACAAAAATAAAACAAATGTACAGAAAATGGACTTGAAAATGATCCAAACTTATAGCCAGCTGACATGATAAAGATGACATTGCACTAAAGAAGGTGAAAGAAGGGTTTTTTTAATCAAAAGTACTTGGTTATCCATCTGAGAACAAAAAAAATGCATTTTAATCCTTGCAGCAAAGACAAAAATGAACTCCAGCTATATTTTATTTCTAAATGTGAGAAGTAAAGTAAGTTTTTTAAAACAGTGAAGAATATCTTCATTATCATAGAAAGATAAATATTTCTTAAACTGTATTTTTAAGAGTCAACCATTATGAAAAAAATATGACCAACTGAACTATATTAAATTGAGAGCTCTCTTCATAAAAATGTCAGTTTCAAGGCACTCTATAAAACAGAATAAGATACAATATCATTTCCATCAAATTATTTGTGCCCTTAACTATATAAACTCCCAAGTCAATAAGAAAAGTGTAGACCACAAAAGAACCAACTTGAGATGATACAGGTAAGAGGATATTTAAATTAAAACAAACAAATGAGAAGGTACTCAACTTTTTTTTTTTTTTTGGTGGAGAGGGGTTGAGCCATATTCAGCAATGCTCAGGGGTTACTCTTTGCTCTGTGCTCCGGTATTATTCTTGGTGATGCTCAGAGAACCATATGGGATGCCAGGGTGCCAGGGATTGAAACCAGATGGGTTTCAGGCAAGACAAGTGCCCTACCTGTTGTACTATCGCTCTGGCCCCAGTACTCAACTTCTTTGGTCATCAGAAATATACATATTAAAAACAGAGTGTCATACTGTTACATACAGCTACTAAATAGCTCAAGTGAGAAGGGTACGCTTACCCAGTGTTGACAAAAAAGAAAATAAAAAAAAGCTGGAATCTAGTCTACAGCTGATAAAAATATAAATTAAAGTGCTGAATTTGGGAAACATTCTGCTCCAGATACTAGATACCATCCGCAGTACCAACTGGAGTAGCACTTACGTATATGACCCAGAGATTCCATTCTCTGGTATATACATTACCAGAGAATGTTCATAATGTTCACACACATCAAAAACACTGGTTCAAGAGAGAGTGCAACATTCAATCTCTGGCACCACATAGTTCCCAAGCACCACTGGGCGTGACCCTGGAGGACCTCAAACACTGATAGTGTAGTTCCGGTAATCCCTAGCACAAAAGGGCCCAAACATTGGACCCTTGCATTGAACTGTTAGTCTGCTTGACATAGAATTGTGAGTGAACTTTCTGAAAACAACTCGGAGGTACCTTCCCAAGAAAAATATAATGTTCTTTGAAGCGCTAATTCATGAAAGCAAAAACCAATACAAATACCCACAAACACTCAGATCAGTGAATAAGTGATGCTAAATCCACATAGTAGAATACTATATGACAGTGAAAGCAATATTTTCTATCTGCATCAACATGAAAAAAATTTCTTGATTGTTGCACTGGGTGAAAAAGTGAGAGACAAAAGAGAAAGAGAAATAAGAGCTACATTTTTTACAATCTATAGAGAGTCCAAAAGAAGAGGGTTAGAAGTCAAAACAGCAACTATTGCATGGAACAGTTATGTGAGGAGACCATGACAAGGTTCTGGGGCTGCTGGTTATGTTGTTATTATTTATCTGGGTGCTGGCCACACTGGTACTTTGTTTTGTGAAAATTCTACAAATGGCATATTATGCTTAGAATCCTTTTGATATGTATATTAAACAAGCATGAAAAACTTGTTAAAAATAATGAAAGCCACTACACAAAATAGAATGACAATATTTGACTAAAAATTAAATGATTTGGGGGACCAGAGAGATAGTACATGGGTAGAATGCTAAATTTGCATGTGGCCAATCCAGATTCTATCCCTGGCTTCCATATGATTCCCAGAGCCTGCCAGGAGTGATTCCTGAGTGCACTGCCAGTAGTACATCTTGAGCACCACCAGGTGTGGCCCAAAACCAAACAAAAGAAAAAGAATTACAAAATTTTCACCAGACAGAAACTCCATGTGTTAGAACACGTGGTTTGTAATTGGCCTAGGTTCCATCCCCAACACCAACCACAAGGTCCTCCAAACACTATCAGGAGCAACCCCCAAGTACAGAGTCATGTGTAACCCCTAATAACTGCCAGGTGTGGCCCCGATGCCCCCAACCCTATTCACAAGATTTGGGACCAGGAGACAGCTCAAAGGCATGGAGCGCATGTTCTGAGGCTATGACCTGAGATTCAATCCCCAGCACTATAGGAACCTCAAGGACTGCTAGAAGCAATCCCTGAATGCTATCAATTGCGCCCCCCAATATAAAAAACAATTACAAGATTAATAGATATTTGTCAACAGCATTGTTTATTACATTAAAGTACTCACAAAAAATTACACATAAATGGGAGTGAGGCTATAAACAGTACACCAAAATGATGACTAATAAGAGGAATAGCAAATTAAAAAGGCAGGGCTTTTAACTCGTGTAATAATTGGTTCAGAAAGACATGTCAGAGAGTCATTTAAAAAACAACTTTGTATTTAAAAAAATAGTGCAAATATCTACAAAGACACAAATAAAATTTTTTTTTGAAATTCATAAAAAACACTGGAATTTTGTGTCAATTGAAAATATAACAAAAGATATCTTTAATTTCAAGTAGAATTTGCATTGACAATACAGTATTAAAAAGTATACTTACTAGTCACATGAGGCCTAGAAGTCTTAGAGCGTTTTTGAAAAACAAGTAGATTCTTCTATAGTCATAAATGGCTCAAGATTTTACAAAACTATCATTACTGTAAAATGTAACTTTGGTATTTTCTTCAACTAATTAAAAAAAATGAACAGGGCGCATTTCCTCTATTAAACAGAGGTATTCATCTATTTTTTGCAAGACTATTATAATTGTTCTTCAGAAATATGAATTGTCATTACAAGGTGTTACTGTGAAAAATGAACTTCAAATCCTGTTTATGCTTTTCCCATGGTGAGAAGAAATCTGTTCTAAGTCAATTAAATATAGTATAATCCATGCACTTGAAAGAATTGTGTACCAGCACAATTCATTACATTCACTCAATTGCCAATATGAAGTTTGCAGAGTGGGGATGATGGTGAACCAGTCTGATACGTTCATTGATGGTATCCCTCCAAAAGGAGACACCCTTGTTTCTGGTTGTATTTAAAGAAAAAAGTGGAGAAAAGAGCTCCTGCCAGAAATATTTGGAAATTTCATACATCTGTTCCAAAGGTACAATATAACTCTCAATGAAGCAAGACAGATCTCAGTTGGGAACCTGAGTATTTATTTTCCCTAGGAATGGAATACAGTTTCATTCATTCCAGTGTGAAATATTTGGAAGTAGTCCACAGGACTAAAGCCTATACTTCACATAATACCTAGAGAATTATTGGCACTCAAAAAGGAAAAGTTAAAACATAAAACATTATTTCAGAATTAAAGTATTTTAAAAAATATTTATACAAAAGGTCCCTGACAATGGTTTTTCCTATAATTTTTTCCCCACTTTATCATGAGGCAAAAGTAAGCACATTCAGTAGAAACTGTACTTAACATTTGATCATTTCCAGGCTGTCAATATGCACTATAATCTTTGCTTGTGATGTAGGCTGGTGCTGCTAGAGCTTTCAACCAGAATCTTGGCCCCAAGGTATAGCCAATGTCTACAGTGAACTGTTAGCAGAATTTTGAATATCGTGCTTGTGTTTTTGCATTTCTACAATATGCCCATCTGTATCTGAGATATTCAACATTTTATTATAGAATAGCTTTGTGTTAGATAATTTTCCCAGTTGTAGGCTAACATATTTTGGACATGTTTAAGGAAGACTGGCTATGCACTGATATTCAGTAGGTTAGATGTATTAAATACATTTCCAACCATATTTTCAATTTAATCAGGATGTTCACATCATCATAAGTCAATGAAAAATGATAATTACAAATCAGTTTATTTTTATATTGAGTTCATTTGGAATGTGTTGTATCTTAAATTAATCAGATTGAACATCCATATGTGTAGAAATTTCAGGTTATAAATTATTTTGGAAAGGTATTCAGAGTTCAATTAAAGATCACTTTAAATATTGCTAAAATTTGGAGGGAATAAAGAACGCTGCTTCAATACTTAAAAATTTATATTTTGGAAAAAACTATTAATTAATTTTAATTATGATCTCATAGTCATATCCAAATTGGTTTTTGTTTAAAAGAAAAAAATTTTGCTAGATTTTTAAAAATAGTTTAAATACCTCTACCCATTGCTTAAATATACTATACAAAAACCATTTTTACAAACTAAGATAAATTAAAAATGCTTTTTCTGGAAAAATAGACTGTTGTATATTTAACTTGATCTTAATTGTGACCCATGATTAGTATCAGGTCCCAAAAATGATTACTATAAACCAGAAGAATGCTTATTGCTTCATGTCTTCAAATCAATGTTTCGGGAATATATCCGCTCAGTTCTGTAGCTTTGAATTTTGATTCTCTATGTAGTCATATATAAAAATACTTCATTATTAAATACAAAATTTTCTTTCTTTTTAAAAAAAATTTTTTTATATATCTGCTGGGTGATTTTTGACTGCTTTTCTAAATAAGTGCATTCATTGATTACTGCATTTCAGTATTTCCTCATGTGACCCTAGACAGTGATCAGTGAGACTCAAGTATCAAGGTTATTCAGACTCACCTTCCCCCAGTCGCCATTGGGTCACTGCTCCCCTCACAGCACTGGACCATGTGAAGAGACTATTAGCAAGGTTGTGGGGATTTGGGAACATACCACAGATTCTGGATATTCTAAATCACCTAGGTAATTCTCCTCACCATTGGGCATATTTCAAAAGTAAGTAATTTATTTTATAAATAAAGTCTAGAAATAATGTTTGTGCTTCTCTTTCAACGGCCAAGAGCCTTAACAAAAACTGTCAAAATCAAGAAGATAACGTAGAGGTTGAGATGTATATAGCTCAGTGTTAAAATGCATCGTTAACATGTATAAAGTTTGATACCTGGCATATACAAAAAAATATATTAATGGAAAAAAAATGAAGATTTCAAATCTGAAGAAATAGCCAATGCAGAAAATGTTTGCATAGAATTACATTGCGTTGCAACTGTCTTGCAGTCATTTCTTTGAGGAACATCCTGAGTCCACTTGTCCACTTTCAGAAAGCAAGTCTACGCATAGCCTATGGAAGCAAAGAGAGGACCACGTTAACCAAATTCTCCTTCTCCCTACGTTCTGCTTTACAAATGTGTTTTATAGTGTGGGTTGTTTAATTTACCTGTTTAAGCTGTGTATCATCCCAAGAAAAGTAGGGCAAAAACGGAATTACACTTTCATTGGATTTAATCAAAAACAACTGTATATTTACTAAGAGCTTACTGTGTACGATCCACTGTTCTTATTACTTTTTCATATAGCCTTTAATTTCCACAACTCTGAAGAACTATCATTCCCATTTGACACAAAAAAACTAAAATGAAGTCAGAGTAATCTGTCTTGGGGAACATGCCAATAAGTAGTCAGGACAGGACTCTCCTCAAGACACTTTGGTTCCCACCCTTGCTGTTCTGTTTCACTTTCCAGGCAAACCCTACTTGATTAATTCGTAATTGTGGCAACCAAAAACACTTCTATACTGAATAATCTTCTTAAACTCCAATACTTATGTATGGGGTTTTACTTACTAAGCCAGTCCTCTATCTAGTCATAAACTACGGTGACTGGAAAGACTGCCTTGCTCAGTGATGACATCCTGTGTACTCTGAATGAAAAAACTAAGATGCAAAATCTCTGTTTTGAACAGAACCTAGAACCAATGTCTTTCCTCCTTAAAAGTTTTCTCTGCTGAGTATCCCCCACTATCTGATTTTACCACTGGGGGCTGAATATTATTTTCCCAATATTCTTATTCTTATTTTTTCTTTATTTTTCCTCCTTAATTCCTTTTTTAAAAACCATTTTCTTTAAAATTTAGGACCAGGAAAAAAAATGGGGCTGGAACAATAGCACAGAGGGTAGGGCGTTTGCCTTGCATGCAGCTGACCTGGGTTCGATTCCCAGCATCCCATATGGTCCCCTGAGCACTGCCAGGAGTAATTCCTGAGCACAAAGCCAGGAGTAACCCCTGAGCATCACCAGGTGTGACCCAAAAAGCAAATAAAAGAAAATAAAAGAAAATGTAGGACTAGGAATAAGGCCACAAGGACATGTTTATCAAACTTTCATATGACACTAACGACTGTGGGTAGTTAACATTCTGGATGATGACTCCTGAATTCAAAATATCAATAAACTGGAGCCAACAATATGTCATCTGTAGAAATACATATATTTCTGCAGTAGGTAAAAACACTATTATACCTGTGCACCTCTGGGAGTGGAGTGGCCCCCTCCAAAAAAAAAAAAACCCTAAAATAAATAACAGGATGCACTGTAGCACTGTCCTCCCATTGTTCATTGATTTGCTTGAGCAGGCCCAGTAACGTTGTGAGACTTGTTGTTACTGTGTTTGGCATATCGAATACATCATGGAGAGCTTGCCAGGCTTTGCCATGTGGGCAAGATACTCTTGGTAGCTTGCTGGGCTCTCTAAGAGGGGTAGAGGAATTGAACCCAGGTAGGCTGGGCTGGCCACGTGCAAGGCAAATGCCCTAATTAAACAATGATAAAAATGTAAGTGGGAAGCCTAGCAGGACTATAGATTCTATGAAAATGCCCAACTCATTTAAGAGAAGTAAAAATTTTCATGAAATTAAAATTGTTATGAAAATAAACACATATTTAAGTCACACTATTAGAAATAACTTGACAAGATTAACATGGGTTGTATAATCTACCTCTTGGCCTGACACCAACTGGAGATTTGTGTCCCTTGTTGGCCAGAGAAAAATAAATCAATTTTGCACCTGAAGAACAGGTGAAGGGACCTAAAGGAATCTCAACTAAAACCAGAGAACTTCACCCAAATATTTAACAGATATTCAGTGGGAAAGTTTGATGCTCAAAAAGGCAATTCTCCATGCAATTCGATCATCAGATAAAGGTCAAATCTGACTTTATAAACTGATAAAACTTGGAGACTTTCAACTATGCAAAAAATTCCCTTTAAACGGTCAGGGATGGCTTAGTTTTAGAGCACAGCCCTTGCTATGTGAGGAGGTCTTGGGTCAGTCCTTCAGCCCCTCAAACAAAATAAAATAAAAAAAGCTGGTCATACCTTTAAGGCTGGTTCATGTAGGAAAGTTCCTGCCAGAAGGAGGGAGATCACCCTCATCTGGGACTATTTGATTTCAAAGACATCTTTCAGATTTAAAATACTATTGTCTCGGTGCCAGAAGATTATACAATAAATATGTCCCTTGCCTTGCACATGACTGACCCAATTCAATCTCCAGCACTGCATATTGTCTTCCAAGCACCAAGCACTGCCTGGAGTAAGCCCTGAGCACCACTAGGTGTGACCATGTTGTCTTACTCTTGTTGGTCCCATGTTACTCAGGGATTAAAACCACAAAAGTCACTCAGCTACTACAAGTTTTCATCAAGTGTTCTATGAATCGTCTAATGCTCCTTAGAAATAACTAGATCAGGGCTGAAGATCTGGCTCAGTAGTAGTGCAAATGTATTACATGTGGAGAACCTGGGTTCAATTCAAATAGAAAAAAGAAATGACTCTTTAATAAAGGGAGCATTCTTTTGGAAAGTCTTTAATCATCACATAAAAAGCAAAACAAAACAAAACAAAAAACCTTATAGTTTCCTGCTCCTCACACAGTATTCCTGAATCTTATAAAACTGTTTGGTTAGAAATTCTCTTTATTCGCCTTTCTCCCATATTATTGGCCTTAGGTCTCTGGCAGATAAAATAGGTAGAAGCTTAGGCACAAAATCAGGTCAGGTCATGTTAGCTTCTTCCAGTCACTGATCATTCCTCTCTGCTTTGAGCAAAACATCTTTAAGAACTTACTGCCCTTTAAAGAGAATTATTGTTCTTCGCTTTCTCTTTTCTATAACACCACCATTTGGCATGAAAAAAATTATTTTTCCTGAATACTTTTAGTCAGATATTGCCACTATTTGTTTCATTTTAACTATTCAAGCTCTAATCTAAATTTTTACTTGGAAAAAAAGTTCTTACCTCATCCTGTACATCGAGTTCTTCTTCCATCAGCTCTGCTTCCATTAATTCAAGGGGTTCTTTACAGTCTTGGATTAGGGTGATCTTAACAAACAACAACAACAAAAAACATACTTATTAGAAATAGAATAGCATCAACCCACCCGGATACTCCACTGAAAATGATTTGAAATTTTGATGGTGCGTCTCATCTCTAATATACATACTTCTCAGTTCTTTTGTTACCTGTACTTCCCACTTTAGAATTTTGCTATATACCATTATATCACATCCAAGTGTGAGCTTCTTAGAATTCTCCATTATCTAACCTCCTTTTCAGCTTTCATCCTTAACCTCTAAAGTGTTTGCTTTTTAATGAGTTACCCATCTGCCTAAATGATTTGTCCATCAATGGTGATCTTATCTCAATGGCTAAACTAAGAGCATTTAAGGTAACAGTGAGTAAACAGTGAATACCCATTGAAAGGCATGTGGCAGATGATAATAAATGATCCCACGCTGAACCAGATGGAAATTAATCTTAATGGAAACAAGAATTGACAGCTACAAACCTGGTTTATTATTAGGAAAATACTACTTTTTTTTATCAGCAGTCATAGGTAATAGAATCTTCTACACAGAGGTAGCCAATAAGAGTTTTGGGGTCTGTCTTATATGTAAAGAAGTTGTTCCCAAAACAACCCCAAATGCACATTTTGAAGGATTTTTTAGCTAATTTTTATCTAATATATCAATAATCCAATTACTGTTGCTTATGTGGCGATGAATTAGAGACTACATATGTCTCTATGAAGGTGGTCATGTTATAAAGGGGACAGGTAGATGTGACTCAGGTGTAAAAATAAAGAACTACAAGTTGAATCTGAGAAGGGTGGGCCTTGTGATGGTCAAATCAAAGGATAAGAAGAAGGGGGTCTTACTGCCTCACGGGTAAGACATATTAGTACATATTACCCGTACTGAAGGAAAGTTCCATGGGTGAGGTTTATTGTCAGTTACTCTACATCTACCATATACAGTGTTGTGCCACAATCCAAATTCTTATTTCCTGATGTGTCATGGGCACATTATCAATGTATTACAGGGAGCAATGAGACACCAGATGATGTAGCTTTCCTTCAAAGATACTCTCTCAAATTTCTGTGCCTGTTAAATGGAGAGTTACCTTTTGGGGAACAAAATACACTCTGTGATGGTCATACAACAATGCAGCCACCTACGGGCACATTTCTCAGAAAGTATGCCCATTAACAAGGGATACGTGACTACCTAGGGACTCACACTTAACATTGAGGGTACACATATGTTTCCTGACCTAATAGGGTGCTAACAGTGCTCAACCCACCATCCATTGAACTAATAAATGTATAATACAGGTGCTCAGTTGTACTCAGTCTAATTGTACTCCATTGTACTATTCCGGCTCAAAGTATTCCATTCACATCACTCACAATATCACTCTGATCAGAAATAAGAGTAAGTCTCTAAGCCTGGTGTGGTGATATTAGTTAATGGTTTTTGTGACATTCATGCCTGAGTTACTGGATCAGAGTAGGGTGTAAAGAAAAAACAAATGACTTTGATGTTGAAAAAAGAACTTGACACATTTGTTTTATTTTACTTTTAACGTGGTATCTTTTTTTTTAGATACTTTGGAGGTGTTGCTTTGGTGTGGTTACACATAGGTTAGAGAAGTTTAAGTTAGAAAAATGTATGAACTTTTATAGATGGATATCTTGAGCAGAGCTTGTTTTTGAGGTCTGCAGTTTATAGATCTCAAAAGATTAGTTATCTTCCCCAGTAGCTTTAAATAGAACAATCTCTTCACTAACAATAGCTGAAAAGAATAATGTACTATTGTTTTCTAAATGAATTTTACTTTAAACATTAACTTCTAACCTACAATATAAACTGATTTATTCTAATTTTAGCAAAAGGAAAAGTTATTTAAATATAGTAGACTATGTCACTGTAACAATTATTATTGTTGTTTTTTGCAGGCACTGTTTTAGTTACCCAAATTTATTGTGAGAAGGTCTATGAGAAAGCAGACCTACCTGCAGGCCCAGCTCAATGACCCAGATCAGAATGTTCAACTCCCCTGGATATTTGACAGGAGAAATGGTGACGTAAGTAGTCCCATGAGAAATCAACTTCTATTTTATTCTTTGGGATTCATTAACTCTGGGGTGAGTAGGGACTTCTAATTTTTCTTCTTCTTTTTTAAAATTAGATTTAACACAAAGGATCCTATTTAATAATATTTATGATCCCAAATTTCCAGATATCTGAGAATTTAAATTGTATGCATATACAGCTGGTATATATATTGGTACCTACATTCTAAGAAGACAGTAATTAATTCCCACTTTTTATTAGTAAATGGTCATTTTAGAATTACTAAGTACTGGGTATATAAATGAGGATATTTCATCTTCCTATCAAACTAGAAAAGTGGATGTTTTTATTCACATTTTAATGATATAAACTTGGAACTTAGTCCTATACTAAGTTCCTCCTCACATGAGGAGTTTGTTTTTCTTTCTCTTCTATTTTCCAATAAACTTTTCTACTTTTGAAAAAAAAAAGAGAACTGAGACTCTGGCAAGTGAAGCAGATGATATAAAATTCTATTGCTAGAGTTCAAACCTAAACTTGTAGAATTTTCTGCCATTCACTAGAAATCATGACAATTTAGGAGACATACATGAGAAGGCTAAATATTTACCGTTTCTAAAATAGAATCCTGAATCTCATGGGTCTTTGCCTTGTTCTGTAGATGGAGAACAGCATCATGGACAGTCAGAAAAAATATATCCTTTCTAATGTTATCATTAAAAAAGCCACATTTTTCCAGTCTTTCAATCACATGCTCTGTGAAAGAAGAGAAAATAATTGAATTAGTCTCTAGGAAAACATATTTCGTAACATCCTGCTGTACTCATATATATATGTATATATATATATACATATATATATACTCTTTTTGGGTCATACCCGGAGATGCACAGGGGTTAATCCTGGCTCATGCACTCAGGAATTACTCCTGGCAGTGCTCAGGGGACCATATGGGATGCTGGGAATCGAATCCGGTCAGCACGTGCAAGGCAAATGCCCTACCCACTGTGCTATTGCTCCAGCCCCTGTACTCATATTTTATAGCTCCTCCTTTTAAATTTTTTTTTCATTTTCAAAAATGTGACTCTGTCCTAAACCATCAAGTTTCTTTTTCCTGCAGCACATGGACTGGTTATGCCAGAAGTGCTTATGGTACACCACCTTTGTGTGTGCACTTCCCATTAGCCAGGGTAGACATCCTCCACCCTCCCATCTCTGGTGAATATCTATTGGCTAATGGGAAGCCTATAACAGATTAGTTGATTTCCTTGGTCAAGGAGGGTTTACTCTGGAGTTATTCCTAATGTTTGCTTTCTATGAATTTAGCTAAGGTGAGTTTCCAGAACCATGTCTTTGTCCCTTGCTCTTACTTCCTCAAGAATTTTTTCTAGAGTGTAGTCTTTCAAGAAATCACCTGCATAAGAATCCTTATCTTAGGTTCTGCCTTAGAGAACTATTTCCCTGCACACTAGCATGCAGGCAGACACAGACTATGCCTTCTGGAATAGAAGGACATATGTCACCTCCAGCTCTTATTTCCCCATGATGATTGCCCCTTATTTATTCTGTTCAGCTGCCAGGACATAGGTTTACATACATTACCAGTTGTAAGACAAAAACTGGAAACAAAAGTTCTAGATTCAAAAGGCCTCTGAGTTTGCTTAATGGGCAGTTTCTGTTTGCAGCAGGAAAATTTGGGGAAATAGATATTTGTGATTATTGCATAGCATCATGAATATACTTAACAGCACTAAATTAATTCTATACTTGAATATGACTAAAATGGCCAATTCCATTTTTACTTCTTTTACCACAATGAAATATAGTTTCTATAAAAAGGACTTTGGATGTCATGTATCCACACTCGAAGGTAAGAGAAAGGGTTTAGGAGGAGGAAAGTCATTGATATATACATATACGTATTTACCTTGAAGTGATGCAAAGTACACATTGACATCAATTCTTTGAAATTCTTTGACAATCTAAAAATGTAAAAAGAAGCATTTGTCATGAGTAACTTCACATTTGCATAATTCAGTAGCAATTACTTGCTCAGAAGAAACCAGTAATTTTATGATTAACTAGTATTTTGAGGAAAGTTCATTGTTGTAGGAATTCTCATTACTGGAAAACAATAGAGGTTTGCACTCTAAAGAAATGGCATGAATAGGGATGATGAATCTCAAAGTATCTTCAGTGCTTAACAGTGAAACTCTCTAGCACAGGGGTGAATATTTGTGGAAGGAAGAAGAGAAAAGAACACAGGAGGATCCCTAAAAGAGCCACTGCTAATTAGAGAAAATAATATGCTATTGTTTTTGAGAGAAAGATTTATGAGTATAGTATGTGATAACCAGATTCCAAATGTAAAAGATAATTGCCTTCTTAAATTATTACATTCCATTTCCTATGCATTTTCATAAAAAATACATATCTCCATGTTAGTATCTTCTGAGGTGTGACTATGGGCCAGTCATTTTCATAACTATATACATAAGCTATATACATATATATACATATACACATGTCATAATATACAATATTCCATGTGATATATAATTTCTTATTTAATCCTTTTGACAGTCCTATGAATTACATACCATCATCAGTCACTTCCATATTACAGACGAAGAAATTGAGGTATAGATAGATAAAGTTACTCACCCACTGTCACGATGCTACAGAGATTCAGCTTCATATAACTGGGCTTCATAGCATTTGTTTTAAATATTACACACTACTGCAAGCACATCTTCCAGAAAAATTACAGAGACCTTGGAGTTGCTTCTTTTCAAGACTGGGAAAACTATGTTATTTTACTGTTAATAGTGCTTCAAATTTATAATTCAAAATACTAGACCTTACCATTTGCAGTGATCTGACTCCAACAATATCCAAGAAAGATACAGCTCCACAATCAATCACAAGGCTGTGAATTGGAACTTTAGGAACATTCACTTTGACGGGAAGCTCAGAGTTCCAATCCACCTGAATTTCAATTTCCTTGGTTGGAACATCAAGTTCTTCTGGATCTTCAATATCTTCATCAGGCTCAAAAGCATTGTTGGATGTGCCAGTATTACTAATAATACCATTCTGAACAGAGAAAATATTGTGAACTTAATCTTTAGTGATTTGGGATGTCTTTCAACAAATCATTTCAAATCACTTGTAAATTCTTCATGTTATTTGGTGGCGGGCTGGAGCGATAGCATAGTCGGTAGGGCGTTTGCCTTGCATGTGGCTGACCCGGGTTCAATTCCTCTATCCCCCTCGGAGAGCCTGGCAAGCTATTGAGAATATCCCGCCTGCACGGAAGAGTCTGGCAAGCTCCCCATGGCATATTCAATATGCCAAAAACAGTAACAACAAGTCTCACAATGGAGATGTTATTAGTGCCCGCTCAAGCAAATCAATGAACAATGGGAGGACAGTGCTACAGTGCTACAGTGTTATTTGGTGGTAAGTACCTCCAGGTGTGGCTCAAACCCCTCCCTCCCCCACCAAAATAACTTAAGAGGGAAAAGAAAGTTGTCACCTCACCTTAGTTGCTCTTAATTTCCCTTTTTTGATGAGTTTCTGTATTTTCCTCAGTGCTTTCAGTCTTTTATTATATACTCTAATGGCATCAAATCCAACCTTTGGAAATAAATGTCAACTTTAGTTAAAACATGTGGTTTCCAGAAGAGGAACCCAGGTATGTGGGACCTGTGGCTGAGATCTCCAAGCCTGCTTGGATCAGGATTGGGCCTCCTCCACCCAGATCCCCAGTTTTCCAGTAGCTTGGCAGTCACACCCACAAACTGCCCCCAGTGCTATGTAATCTCATCAATGGCCAAGATCCAGAGACTATAAAGCAAAGCTTCCAGAAGAGAGCAACACAGTTTTTCCTGGAGCATGTGGCCGCATTTGTGGCCGCATGACCTCTTATACTCTAGCCCTCTGATGTACCTAAAGCAGCACACATGTGTTTGGTTTTAACATACTTGCTTGTATTCTCTTATATATGGGCTTAAAAGGGACCCAGAATGAAATCAACAACTTTTTATTGTGGTGGGAAGATGCTTGCTGGTTGGGTGGGTGTTTGAATATTATCTATAATGAACTACTGTAAACTACTTTATGAAAATAAAATGTATAAAAATCACAAAGAAAAATGTGGTTCCTAATACTTATTAATGGCAATTGTCATTGGGCAAGTTACTTCTCAGATGGTATTATTCCTTGAGACATTGAGCCAAAAAGGAAATTTTGAGGTGAATGGAGGTTCCACTACCAAGCCACCTGACCCCAGCCACCCAAAGGGGAAGACAGCGATAATGCTTAGAGAAAGTATAAAAACAAAACAAAACACAACCCAGGAGGGAAAGTGATCTCTTTGGCTTTAAATCTGCTTTCCAATTTTGCTTGACATCACAGAGCCCTTTTGTTATTGAGAAATCTATGAACATTCCTCTGAACCAGTATGCCCTGAAACTCACTTAAGAAAAACACTGATTTAACAGCAAACACAGTCATGGAAGCATAGCACGGCATATAGCACAGAGATTTCCTTCTAATGTTTCATTTATACTTTTTACCCTTTACTCCATCTGGCAACCCTCCCTCCATCTGTGCTCCTACCTTCTCTTTCAGCTCACATAGTTCTCAAGCACCGAACATAATCTCCTTCCTTCTACTCAGCTGCCCACAAAGCTTGCTCTGTCCAGCTGACAAGGATGCTTCCCATCAGAGAACTCTTTCAAGTACTCCCCACTTACATAAAACTTGATTGAGACTCTGATACAGATATCTCTAGAGTTTTTATCTGTTTATATGTTATTGCTACCAGGAACTGGTATTATTGTCACCTTTTTTCTTATCTACAAATAGATTGTAAATTACTTGAGGGGAAGGGTGTTAGAATGCTTAATTGTCCTAAACAAAGGGAATATGTTATAAGACCCCAGACCTTTGACTATAAAAGGGAGTCTCAAGGAGATTACAAAGAAAATATCTAGTGATAAATACTTACTGTGGACTTGATACACTTTTTAAAACCGTCAACGTTGCCATAAAAAATGGGACTAGAAAATCTAAGAATCTTGACTCCCTCAGGTTCTTCAATCTAGAATCAAAAAGAAATTAAAGCCAATTTCAGGCCACAACAACCCAATCAAGCTTCTATTTAATTCAGCTATGAATCAAATTATAATTGCTCAGAGAATCAGGAAAGTAGCAATAATCTTTTCTTAGAGGTGGGGTATCATATCAGTTGAGAGAGGTAATAATAGTTTCCCCAAACTCCCAGACCTTTAGAGTTTATTAAAATCAGAGACAGGAGGGCTTTAGGAAGCAATTCAATCCTCATTTCCAGATGAAGAAACTGAAACTAAGAATGGGGACATGATTTGCCTTAAGTTCACATCAGTGACCTTTTGTTTTTGTTAAAATGCTTTACACACACACACACACACACACACACACACACACACACACACACGCACACAGGAATTTACAGAAATGGGGGATTATGATGCCATTTTCTTATTCCTTACTACCTCACACAGTGGCCAGACCATATGGAGTCATAGACTTTCTTCTCTTAAGCCATTTAATTTAGTCTGGTTCCTTTAGGTAAGAAAAGTAAGGTCCGTGAAAGGTTGAGTAATTTAGGCAAGGCCTTTCCCAGATGGAGTCTGAAACTCAGAACTCTCAAAGTCAGCCTCAGTTCCCTGCCCCAAGATAAAGGGTACTCTTTTTTTTTTTTTCGCTTTTTGGGTCACACCTGGCGATGCCCCGGGGTTACTCCTGGCTCTGCACTCAGGAATTACTCCTGGCGGTGCTCAGGGGACAATATGGGATGCTGGGAATCGAACCTGGGTCAGCCACGTTTAAGGCAAATGCCCTACCCGCTATGCTATTGTTCCAGCCCTGGTAAAAGGTACTCTTGAATAATTTTTGTTCTCAACATAATAGAAAAATTGTAGGAATAAATTAAGTCACAACTACTAAAAATCTAGGTTCATTGTCCAGCATGTCGATCAAATGAAGAGTATCTTATAGGGATTTAATCACAATTCTGTAGAGGTAAATGTATAACAAAATATCTCTTACAGTGGGTTTACACTCTCTTTACTTTTGTTGCTTTAAAATTTTAATGCCTTTTTCTTCAGAATTACTCTAATACACTACTATGTGTACACCAGTGGCTTCACAGGGCAGTTTCTATTTGTCTGTCATGATTTTTATACATTTTCCAATTTCCATCCAAATTCCCCAATTTCCATTCCAATTGGGGAATTCTAAGTATTTGTAAATATTATATAAGTATTATTTCTCTCTTTTCTTTTGGGATTCTTTATGCATGTTGACAATACTGTGTGTGAGAGTGTGTTTGTGTGTGTGTGTGTGTGAGAGAGAGAGAGACAGAGAGAGAGACAGAGAGAGAATTGGCAGTGTTCGGGGCTTTCTCCTGGTTCTGTGCTCAGACATTGTTTCTGGAGGTGCTTGGGGGACCATATACGATGCTGGGGATCAAATCCAGGACAGCTGTCTGTAAGGCAAGTGCCCTACCCATGTACTATTTTCCTGGCTCAACAATGCTTCATTTTATTCCAGAGGTCTCTGAGTTTTGTCCTTTTTGTAATTTTAAGAAATAAATGATATAACATTGCATTCATTTTATCATAACATAATTATCTGATTGTAGTGTATGTTGTGAAATGATCAGAACTATGAATCCAGAGATAGGTAACATCAGTCATCATATTAAATTACCAGTTTTCCTTGTCATTAGACACTTTAGAATCTATTGTCTTAGCAATTTATAAATATGAAATATAATATTTTGAACTATAGTTGCCATTCTGTAAATATATACACCCCTGGGATTTGTTTTATAACTAGAAATTTATACTTTTTACTCCCTTTGCCCAGAGTAATAGAATTTTGATTTAACATCTAAAAGTAAGTAAATTTTTAAAAAATTCCTCTTACAGGGCATTGGTGGAGGGAAGTGGACACTGGTGAAGGGATCACTGTTGAAACATTGTATGCCTGAAACCCATTTGTGAATAACTTTGTAATTTCACAGAGACTAAATTTAAAAAATAATTTTAAAAATACAAAAAAATTTTTTCTTACAGTGGGTTTACATTTAAGTAAACATCAAATCAATTTGATGCAAAAATTCATCAAGAATATCAGAGCACACTGGGTCAAAAGTATATGTGATATTTAGGGCTAGAGAAACCATATAGGAGGTAAGGCACATGCCTTATATGCAGCGAATGCTGGTTTGATCCCTCACACTGCCTATGTTTCTCTTAGAGCTGCCAGGAGTCACTCCTGAGCACAGAGCTAGGAATACTTATTCATTCTTAGTCACTGTCACTGTCACTGTCCTCCGGTTGTTCATCAATTTGCTCGAGCGGGACCAGTAATGTCTCCATCGTGAGACTTGTTGTTACTGTGTTTGGCATATTGAATACATCATGGGTAGCTTGCCAGGCTTTGCCGTGCGGACGAGATACTCTCGGTAGCTTGCCGAGCTCTCCAAGAGGGGCGGAGGAATCGAACCCGGCTCAGCCGGTGGGCTGTGTACTTTAGTAAATATCCGTGCCTCTGAGCACTACATATATGACCCCAAAAATAAACAAAAATGTATACTTGATATTCTCGATGGACTTTTAGATTTTTTTCCCCTAGTAGTACTGTTTTCACTACCTTGTACCTCACGTTGTAAAGTGTAATATGTAGTTCCTGAAAATCTAGGCCAGTATAAGTTTAACAAATGTCTCTCAAAAGCACTTACATTTTTGTAGTTCTTGGTACTTTTGTAAATATCTGTGCTTGGGATGCTTCCAAGGCCATTCCATGAGGGACTGAAAGAAGATAAATGAAGTTCAGGATTTGGAGGAACAGTCATGCCTTGGAATACAAAGTTAGAAGAAATAACAGATCGAACCCATCATTCTGGTGCTTTTGGACTCTGTCTTAATCTTCAGATGGCACTTCCCTGTAGCTAACAGCTGTTGTTTGTATGGAATTGGGGAAGAAGAAGGAACTGGGACTCTTTGTTGAAGGATGAGTGTCAGCCTTCTATGTGTATAAGCAAAGAGCTTTTGCATATATCATTCCACTATGAGCCTGAAAGGTCAGGAGGGTTATCCTTATTACTCACCTCCTAATGGTGAGTAAATGAGGCTCAGGGAGGTAGGACTCAGGTAAGTCCAGAGATAAAAAGCAGCGTAGTATCAGTACTAGTGAATTAAAGCCACTTTCTCATAAAAGCATAGAGATTGTGGTGATCCAATTTGTCTCACTGTTATAAGAACCAGGAGCCCACAAGGACTAGAAATAAGTCCTTCCCTTTAACTATCCTGTTGATTTTCTGTTCCTGATATAATCAAATAAATAGCACTGTAGCACTTTTCTCCAGTTGTTCATCGATTTTCTCGAGTGGGCACCAGTAACATCTCCATTCTGAGACTTGTTGTTACTGTTTTTGGCATATTTAATATGCCACAGGTAGCTTGCCAGGCTCTGCCATGCAGGTGGAATACTCTCTATAGCTTGCCGGGCTCTCATAGAGGGCGCAGGAATTGAACCCAGATTGGCAGTGTGCAAGGCAAATGCCCTAACTGCTATGCTACTGCTCTGGCCCAATCAAATGAATACCATGAATTATCTGGTGGTAATGTACTCCTGAATCAGCCTTATGATTGTTGGAAATTAAATACTGGGGAAAATACTGATTTTTGTTGGTTAAAATCAGTATATGGTAACCTAGTTACCAAACCAGCAATGAAAACATGTCATAGATTTCACCTCAGCATACTATACCGTGCTGAGTTATAACTTAAAGTTTCATAAGCTATAGTCTTTCTGTTTAAAATCCTTTTCTTCCAAGGGGATTGATAGTACAGCAGGTAGGATTCTTACTTTGTACTGGCCAACCTGGATTCAATCCCCATCATTTTATATAGTTTTCTGAGACCACCAGGAATGATCCCTGAGCAGAGAGCCAGAAATAAAACCTAAGCACAGGCTGGTGTGCCTCTTCCCCGCCCCTGCAAAAAAACCCAACTCTTTTCTTCCCACCTACATAAGGAAATGTAGACACTGAGGCATATAGCTTGTCGCTTGTCATTTCTCCTCTCTGTTTCTGTTTCTGTCTCTGTCTCTGTCTCTGTTTGTCTATGTCTCTGTCTCTGTCTCTGTCTCTCTCTCTCTCTGTCCCAATACACTTAGGCCCAGCCCCTCACATCATCTCATGTAAAGAAGGAACTACTAAAAACCTTGGTCTTTCACTGAATCGCCTCTCTCTCACTCCTAGCATGAGTAGCAGGGGATCACAGTGTATCACATGTAGAGACAGACATAGATATAGGGGTGACATTCATCAGAGTTCAGATTACTTTGTTACTTGAGCAGTTACTTACTAGTAACCACTGCTTACTAGTTCTGTGAGGTGCCAGGGATGGAACCTAGGCAAGTCAAATGCCCAAGCCACTGCTACTATCACTCCAGCCCTTCTAGTAACTTTTCTTTTTAATAGTTCAGGGATCTTTTTATTTTTGAAAAAACACCTCTACTGCCATGAATCCCTGGGAAATGGTGTCAGCAGGCCAGGCTCCTTCCCACTGGTTCTCACAGGTGAGCTTCTCTGGGTGGGGTCAACATTTCTGTTGAACCCAAGTCCCTTTCTCTCTCTCTCTCTCTCTCTCTCTCTCTCTCTCTCTCTCTCTCTCTCTCTCTCTTTGCCTTTTGGGTCACCACAGGGGTTACTCCTGGCTCATGCACTCAGGAATTATTCCTGGCGGTGCTCAGAGGACCATATGGAATGCTGGGAATTGAACCTGGGTCGGCTGCATGCAAGGCAAATGCCCTACCTGCTGTGCTATCACTCCAGCCTTGTCCTTTTCTCTTTGGCTTCCTTCTTTTACTGATCATTTTTCTGCATCCGTTTCAGGAAGCTGTCTCAACCTTTAGAGTGCTTAATATGCTCAATATGAACATTAACTCTTGGCCAGAATCTTCCCCTATACTTATTTATGACAATGCCAACAGCATGCTGGGTACCATTGTAGACTTTCCCAGTTTTGCCATGGTCAACACTTGTGGGGCATTACTTTTTGGACAGTGCCCATTCCCTTCATATTGACAAGATCACCTTTCTTGTAGATCTGCGTATATGTGTCCAAAGGAACAACTTCCATGTTTTCTAAATTTTCTAGAGAACATCTAGTGGGTGGTCCTCCTCTTTCCCTTTGTGTTGGTCATTTCTGTGACTTACTGGAAGATGGTGGTTCCAGTCGAAAGGGTATAGAACTATTTTTAAAGAGAACAGTTTCACTATCTCTGGAATTTTATGTATAAGACATTTCAGGATGTGTTGTCCTGTTTACGGAAAATTTTCATCTTATCTTACTCACAACTGAACTCTGAAGACAACAGTCAGCAATCCAAATATGAGACCAGCTAGCAAGCCAATGTCTAGCCCCAGAATGATGGATGCTATACATGTAAACACCCAGATGACCTAGCGAGAAAAGAGAAATGAAAGCATCATATTAATTTGTCAGGTACCACCAGGCGAAAGACAACCATAAAAATAAGATCAATTGTCCACAAACAAATTACAGCTTTCAAAAAATATGGTTTATTATTTAAGTGGAAGTGGAAGTTGGTCTTCCTAATAAAGACCAAATATCCCACTTAAATATTTTAATTTGATTTTTGCATAGGTACTACACTAACATGACTTAAATGGAATTAATATAGAAAAGACTCTCCATGGAAAACCTTGCTTGTTTGCCTTTCTCTCCCCACCCACCCTAACCCTACTAACATGCTCCTTATTTCTATGTGTATGTGCATATTCATACATGCAAACTTTCCCCAGTATTTTTGTAAATATAGCGATAGCACAGCGGGTAGGGCATTCGCCTTACCAGCGGCCAACATGGCCAACCCGAGTTCGATTCCTCCGCCCCTCTCAGAGAGCCCGGCAAGCTACCGAGAGTATTCGATATGCCAGACACAGTAACAACAAAGTCTCCAATGGAGTCTCCGCTCGAGCAAATCGACAATCAACGGGAGGGCCTTTACTTTACAAGCAAATATGACTGAATATTTTATTTTCCTGTTGCTTAGTGTGTTATACAAATTATTCTCTTTTTTTGTTTTTTAAATTTACTTTGTCTGGGAGATTTTATAAGAGGCTTTACTCCTTTTTTTTTCCTTTCCTGCAGCAGAATTAATGGATTTAGTTTCTGGCTTTTACAATTCGTCACAACACGATGAATCTTCACCTCAGGAAGGGTGCTTCAGTCAGAATTATAATCAGTGAGGTTTTCTGTATGTTGCGTTTTTGTTTTCTTTTGGCCTTCTAAATTAGAGACTATTAAAATATATATATTTGGTTTTACTTTAGAAGAACAATAATATACATATGAGTTCTTAGGGACTGATTCTTATTGGGAACATAATTTTTTCAAAGATGAAGGAACTTTCCAAAACACAGTTGACAGGCAGATGTCTAGTTTTTGGCTTATATACACAATTCTAAAATCTGCTTTAGGATTCCCAAAATACTTAGGAGATAAAGGGTGCATCATGATGCAGGAAACATTTGAACTAAATCTTATTTCAGAGAAAAACGAAAGGCATAGGACTTACGGCATCAATCTTACTCTGCCTCCACAGACGAGGAATGTCACACACCTGCATAAACATCCCTTTCAGGTTGGCAATTACAACAGCTGCCAAGACCGACTGCCAAAGAGAGACAGGGAGGCCTGTTATTCAGGGCAAAGGTTTTCCCTGTGATGATTTTTAAAGCTTTTGCTATCTCTCTGGTGGCCAGCAGTGATGAGAAGTTATATAATCGCTGATAAGCAGGGTCCTACCTTTTGCAAGGGTTCCAGTAACTTCCCCAAGGCAACAATGGCGATCATCACAATTCCAGCTGAGATAATACCAGCAACCTGAAAGGCACACAACTCCCATGAACAGAGTTCTCCCTTTCCCTTGTGTTTCCCAGCTCCCCGGATGTTGGAAGGAGAAAGCCCATCCACAGATGAACATAATGCCTTCTGACCTTCCCTTCTCATTGAGGACTGTTGAGAGAACTGAGAATTATCTGTAAAGACCCCACAAAACTGAAGTAATAGTAGTTCTGGCAGAGAAATTAGACAGAGCTTAGAGAAATTAGTAGAGCCGGCACAAGCTAGATTTTGTTTGGATAGACCACAGACATGTCGTTTGGGTGACAATTTAGGGAACAAACATCCAATTATCTGCCATACCAGGAAACACAGACTCCCCCTGCCCAACAACAGGTCATTGTAATGTTCCTAAGAAGCAAATTCTCTTGGCACACAGCTGATTCTTCTGCGTTACTGTCATAATAAGTAATTCTGATAACGCTGTACTTTCAGCGCATAGCTCCCACAGAAATCTCAGGGAAAATAAACTTGCCAGTCCTGTTGCAAATTCAAAATGTCCACAAGTAGATGAAGGGGTAGCACTGTGTCTCCTGCTTCCTCTAACCTTCCAGGACACACAGGCTTGAGCTTTAAGCCCAGTCACTTGAGTGATGCCAGGGCAACAATAGGGGTCAACGACCTTCAGAAACTTTACCTTCACTGGCATAAAAGCTCTCCTAAGATCCATACATCGTTAGGAGAGAGCTTGAGGGGTTTGAGTAGATGATCAAGGAATTCTTTGTTGAACCAGCTGGGGCCTGGCGGAGGTGAAGACTAGAAGCTCTGAAACAAAGGAGAAAAGGAGACAGGGAGCCAGAAGCAGAGCCAGGAGAGAAGCAGTGAGAAAGACAGTGTTGGACACAAGCACAGCCTGAGATAAGGTGTTGAGTCAAGGAGACAGAGAAAGCTCACCTCAACAGAAAAATCCCAAACCGCAAGGAAATGTTATAGGCACACTCACTTCACCTGGTAAACAGAACACAGCCTGACAACAGTTAGGTCGCTATAAGGCAGTATTCTGCATGTGGGGCACTGAAATGCTTGATTTGCGCATTCTGATCCCCTTTTCTGAGGCCTCTAATCTCCAGTTTCCCAATACTTTTGCATGCTTCCTCCTCTACTTTTTCTCTCCCTCACCCTCTTTCTCCATCCTCCTTCCTTCCGCGTATTGACTTAACCAATATCCACTGTCTTTCATAAGCCACTTGCATCATCTGTGGATGCTGAATTCTGTGCAGAGGGAAATAGAGATTGGACAGCAAAGATGAGAGGCAGCTGCCCAAGTTGGGTGAAAAGAGTGATCATCTACTTGCAGGCATCGGTAATCGTAAGCTTCCCATCAAGGGGGTCAAGGCTAATGTGGGTTTTACATTAAAATCTGTGGGGGATTCATCATTTGTACTTATTTTGTCAGGCTGATGTGTGAGCACCGCTTAGATTTTTAGATCTGTGAGCAGATTCAGTTACTAGAACATGAATGATTGCTCTTCAGCGAGAGGTTACGCAGAGCAGCCAGAGAGCAGTTTGCAATCAGAAGTACTTTTTCTCATGAGTCAGAGATAGTCAGATGGGGATGTGAGAGATAGCCTCTGCTGAGCTTTCTTAAACGGTGTGGATGTGCTGAGAATGCATAATGTCCCCTTCCATTTTTCATTCAGCAGACAGAGGCTGGTGTTTCTTATGTGGAAGGCACCACATATGTCACAGTTACTAAGGTGCTGATTCTCTTTTGAGGAGTTAGTGACTGAAACAGTGAACGTTTATAAATGTGTGCCAGAACTTTTCTTTTTCTCTTGAATCCTCACCTCAATGCCTACAAGGTTTATTTCCGTTTTTATAGGTACGAAAAACATGACTCTAAAATACAAGAAAACATGAGAAGTCCCCAGGAAGCCCTGCTTAATTATTACTTGATTGCAATTCCCTGCATCTCAGTCCAGGCACTTAGACTTTTAACCCTGAACTTAGTATACATTTCAGTAATTAAATATCAAGTCATTTTTGTACTTGTTTCATTCTTCAGTACTGAAATCCTGGCATCCTTCATTCCTAAATATAATACACACTAGTGTGTGGCAGGAGGTATTAGCTTACCAGAATACCATTATCCCCAAACTCTCTGCCAAGGAATCACTTTACATGGGCATTCTTACAGGGGCAGCCTGGAGGTAAGAGCAGGAACATCAGCAGTTGGGGATCTGCCTGTACCTGCTTCCACTCTGTGCCCTGGAGAGCTTGTCAATGCCTTGTCTCAAATGAAGCAGCAGAAACTTCTGCCAGTTGACAGACAGCTTGCCCTGGCCATGGGTGTACTTTGGGAAATCACCTCTGACCTCTTTCCCCGGACTATAGATTTCTGCCTCTATTTCATGCTATGGACTGTATTGTCTTACCTGATCCCTTGGAGTTAAATGTGTCTGCTGGGGGGTGAGGGGTGGTGGTGGGTGGGAATTAACCCCATTTAAAACTTAAAATTCTAAAAGTCAAAATGGAATGCTTTCTTTAACATTGTAAGATGGTGCTTGGGGGAAGGCTTCTCTGACAGTGCTTCCTTTATAGGCATGACGTTGTGGGTCTTATTCCTGGCTGGTCTCACTCCATGTGCCAAGTGTGATCCAGCAACACTGTTCTTTGGGATCCCCAGCAGCACAACAAAAAAGTATGCAATCTGTGGTGCACCATAACCAGATATGTGTAGGATGTGTGTGTGTGTGTGTGTGTGTGTGTGTGTGTGTATGGCATGCAAGCATATGTGGTATGGTGAGTGTAAATGTGGGTGTGTGGTGATTTGTGAGAGTTTCATACAAATTATTTTAGATCTGTTTTTCTCTTTATAGTCTAATTGTGATCTTTTACTCTGAAATCACAGCTCCTTCTGTGTTTGCAGGGGGAGGGGGAGAGTTGGGGGGGGATATTCTCCAGATGTAACAGAACACAATTCAGGAGCCTACCCCTTGTCCCATTCATTTGGTTGGGCATATCTGATTCTTTTTCTGACTAGAAAGCGTGACCTTGGAGAACAGCTCCAGAGTCTTCTGGCCAACTGAAGAAAGGGTTATTCAGGGATTTACCGGAATCCTAGGCTTTTTTGGCCACCTTGTAAAGACAACAACTTCCAACACTATTTAAAAGGCAGGGTTAAACCCACATTCTGAACTTTAGAGACAAAATCCTGGCTTAAGAAGAAATGCTAAAATGTCACAGTAAAAATTTTCTTAGCTTTGCAAACTTGTTTTGTGGGACAAAAGACCTCCGGAGGAAGTTCCTGGTCCTTGTAAAGGAAATGTAAATAGATGCTTTTTGTTTTCCTGAAAACATAACTCCCTAAGCCATAAAGCTATTACTAAGTTCTGTCTAGCCCAGATATTGAATTAATAAAAATCAGCATTCTTCATTTCTGTTATCTTATTTATTATTATTGTCCCTGGCAAAGCAGGTAAGTATAGCCTTCTGTTAGCTGACCACAGACATTGAGTGATTTGAGAATTGCTACACCAGGAAATGATCAATACTGTTTGAGTGGTTTTCTGTGAAGGGTAAATCAAGGAGATGAGCAGAGTTAGGGGGGAGTCGGATCAAAAATATGAGTTTCTATTTTACAACACTATGTTCCTTGCAACCCTATCCACAATAGCCAAAATCTGAAAACAAACCAAATATCTAAGACTAGATGAATGGATAAAGAAACCCTGGTACATACACACAATGGAATATTACTCTGCTATATGAAAAGATGAAAGTTATGAAATTTGCTACTTCATGGAGAGACCTAGAGAGTTATCATGCTGAGTGAAGTTAGAGGGAGAGAAACACACCAGAATGATTTCTCTCATGTGCGGGATGTAAAGAAACATGGTGGGATAACAAAATCCAAAGACAACAAAAACTTGAGAACTGGTTGCAATAGAAAAAATGTCACTGGAAGGGTATGGGGGAGAAGACAGCGAGGGGGCAACATCAATGGTGGAGGGAAGCATTCAACTGAAAGGTGTAAACTTAGTACAAAACCCTATTGGCATAGTACCATAAACCACAGTGCAAAGGCTTATAGAAATTTTTTTTAAAAAAAGAAGAAGAAGAAATGGAAAGAGAGAAGAGAAAAAGTACCTCTCATAGAAGCAGACCTGTGAGTAGGAGGTAAATAGGACTTGTGGGGTCCAGGGAAGGGGGCTTTGGAAGAGGGACGTGGACACTGGTGAAGGAATGGGTATTGAAAAACTGTATGCCTGAAACCCAATCATGAACAACGTTGAAATTTTATGGTGACTAAATTAAAAACAAAACATGAGTCTCTTCAGAGACCAGCTATTCAGCTTTCCTCCTGGGCAAATTTCTTGGAGTCACCACTGAAGAGGCCCAGCAGTTTCTTCACAAAGTACCATGCAGCGTCTCATACCTGGGTCTTTCCCCCTGTGCTCTCCTGGACAGCAGTACGGGACAGGGCAGTGGTGGCCACGAAACAAGAGAAGAATCCTGAGAATATATTGCTGATTCCAAAGGCAATGAATTCCTAAGGGAGAAAGACAAGATAGCAGTGCTCAAACACAGTCTTCGCAAGACTACACCAGGGGTTGGAGAAAGACCATTAAGAAAGCTCCCCACAGGGACTGGAGCGATAGTACAGTGGGTAGGAAAGTTGCCTTGCACACGGCCAACCTGGGTTCGATTCCCAGCATCCCATATGGTCCACCGAGCACCATCAGGAGTAATTCCTGAGTGCATAAACCAGGAGTAACCCCTGTGCATTACCAGGTGTGACCCAAAAAGAAAAAAAAAAGCTCCCCCCAGGTCTGATAGTCCCAATACATGTAAAGGTAATGGAAGGCCTTGGAAGATGATAGGAGTTTGGACTCTTTGAAGCCTAAGGGAGGTACTACTGCTCTCAATTGTTTTTAAGGTTGATGAGAAATGAAAGTTGATCTTTTGCAAAATGCTTGTTTCATTTCCTGGTGAGTAGCTCTCATCAAAAACATTTTTTTTTCCTGTGGTTGAATATTTGCTCTGAAGCATATTAAGCTAGGAGAGTTATTATTCCGCTTGATTACTAATCGTTTAACTGCTGTAATTTGCTGTGCTGTTTTCAGAAACATACTGTATTTTCAGACTTGCAAGGAGTGTAAAATCGGTTCACTTGGCAAAGTACCATATGCCTACAAAACCTGCCCTGTGTGCATTTATTGCACTGTGATCCGCCCCCATTTAAAGTGGTCAGAACCATTCTCTATGGTGTTTATTGTACTGTTTTGCCATTTTATAAGCATCATTAAAAATAAATCACCAGGAAATTTAACTTTACATAAGACTTCTTATTCTGGGTTACATGTCAAATTTGAATGCTTTTTGTTACCTGAGTGAATTAATTATTTATAAATTAGAATTATTTATTTATTAAAAGTCAAGGGGATACAGCATGCATGTCTCCAAAATAATTTCGGATTAGCCAGCATAATAAAGAAACCAACTCAGGAAGAAGCCAATTGCTTGTTTTGCAGACACCTGAACTTTCCATGTATATTTTTCCTTCTAATTTCCAGCCCAACAAAACCAGTTTAGCAAAAGAGTGACCATACCTGGTTTCCATCAATGGTGTAATCATACTTGGTGGCGTACACTTTTCCTACAGACACTGCAATAGCATAGGCAACTACAGCAGTGGAAAATGATGTAGTCAACATCTTAGAAAATAAGTTCACAAGTGGAAGTGAAGGAGGCAAAAACCTAGTGAATTTACAAATAAAAGATGCTGTGAAAGTCTGACCACATTTCTTTTCCTCCCATCTCACCCAATACTATTTTAAACCAGTCACTAATCAGACCTGAAAGTTCTTGACTTAAGGGGGTAAAATCACATGACGTGTATAAGTGGTAGCATCTGCTTCTACAATTTTTAATCTGGAGTTTGTTCTATCTCCCTTGATTTCTTTGCCCCCTATTTGAATGGGCTTTGAGGTGACACCTTAGCTGTACCTGGGATGTAAAAAGGTCTGCTATTATGATACTTGAATTTTATACACCCAATCCATGTGTCTCACATATCAGTGTTTCTTCTTACACCATTTCATCTTGAAGTTCCTTGAATTTAAAAGAGCTCCTAGTCATAAAATGAGATTTACTTTATATGAAGAGATGAAAGATAAGTTAAAGAGACAAAGAATTTAAGATGCTAAAAAGAGCTTGGTGGAAAATGCTATATTTTAAGAATCACGCTATTTTATACCTTCATGATCCCAAAGAACAATTAAATTTATATAATTATCAAAATGTTCCATAGTGATAATGAAGAAAATATTCTACTAGTGTAGTGAAACAACTACTGCTTGAGAAAAAAAACAAAACTACACCACAAACTATATCAAGAACTAAGACTTTAGTTCATACTCATGCAGTTGTCCTCAAATATTTTTGTTCACCCAAATTTGGGATATGATCTTCATGTACTTATATCCTTGTTGTTGTTGTTGTATCTGTTGCTAACTGTCATGGGCCCTATTCCTTGACCAGCTCAGGGGTCAGTAGAGTCATTCCCTGCCATCTGCCAGCCATGGATTGTGCCTGGGATGGTACGCTGGATGAAACTCATGCCAAACAATTTAGCATTTCTAAGCCCTGGACCTTGTACTTTGATGGTAAACCACATGATGTAATTCTAGAAATGCCAACCTAAAAAAAATCTCCCCACATATCTCACTTATGCCTGAAATTTGGGGGTGCAGGGGAGGGCAGGGGGCACACCAGCAGTGCTCAGGGCTTACTCCCGGCACTGTTCTCAGGGATTATACCTGGCACAACTCAGGGACCATCTGTGGTTCCAGAGATTGAACCCAGGTTGGTCTCATGCAAGGCAAATACTCTACCCACTGTACTATCTGTCCAGCCCCAATTTCTTTTGATAAGAAACCATACTCTTACCCTAACATAGAAACAGTACAAATATAAACAAGAGTCTGAAAGAAAATTAAAGACATTTAGAGTTACCTAAACAGTCTTATAACTAACACACTAACCTTAGATATTATTTTGTTTGTTTTTGGACCACACATGGCTTGGTTCAGGGCTTGCTTACTTACTGTTGCCTCTATGCTCAGGGATTACTTGATGGTGTGGATTGAGAGACCAGAGATAGAACAGGGGTCAGTTACATGCAAGTAAGGCAAGTGCCTTACCCTGGTACTATCTCTACATCCCTAATAAACTCTAGATATTACTGAACATATTGCTCTCATTTTGTTGATAAGGGAACTGAGATCGAGCAAAGTAAAGTGATTCACTGGAAGTCATGTAAAAAGGTGCAGGCATAATGTTATTAATGAATCTAGATTTATTTCCTAAGTAGCAAGATCTGTTTAGTTCTCTTCCCTTGTAGATATAACCCAATATATGAGGTTAATTTCTGGACTCCCTTCTCTCACATCCTCCTGACCCACATGGAGGTTAGGGCACATCCTTGTTTGAAGCAGATGGAATGTTAAAAAACCGGAGCCAACACTTGTGATTCAGCATCACATCATTTGCAACTCCGGAGGTAACCTTAGGCCTCATTTTTTCCTCTTAGTTTCTCTCTAGGCATCCTGATTTACAATACTGTTAATAACAGAGTTTCAGACATACAATGTTCCATCACCACACCCACCACCTAAATGTCAGCATCACTCCACCAATGTTTCAAGGTCCCCCTCCCACCCTAACCCCTTAGCAGACTTAGTTCTGTAAGACTTTAATTTTTTTAAGCCAGACTTCCGATTTATTCCTGATAACCCTCCATCTACCCACCACCACAACCACCAACAACAGCAACCCCATTCAGGTAGTCCGTTTATCAGAATTACTTTCTAGTCCTGTAAAAAATCTAGATTTGATAGCTACCTAAGGCTTACTCTGTGCCTGGTTGTGCAGTTCTTCTTCAAATCCAGAACTTTCAATTAGATCTTGATTCTCCCCAGGGTTAAAGTGTAAAATACAAAGACTTTAAATCAAAGGACCTGATATCAGCTTTCATCACTCTGTAGCTTTAAAACTGTGCTGATTCTCTTTACAATAGCCAGAAACTGGAAGAAACCTGAATGCCCACAAACAGATGACTGGTTAAAGAAACTTTGGTACATCTACACAATGGAGTACTATGTAGCTGTTAGAAAAGATGAAGTCATGAAATTTACATACAAGTGGTACAACATGGAAAGTATCATGCTAAGCGAAATGAGTCAGAAAGAGAGGGATAGACATAGAAAGATTGCATTCATCTGGGGGATATAAAGTAACAAAATATGAGATTAATACCCAAGAATAGCTGAGATCAGCACCAGGAGGATTACTCCATAGCTTAGTGGCCAGCCGGGCATTCTAGAGGAAAGGGCAGCTCAGATAGAGAAGGGAGCACCAAATAAAGGGTGTTTGGAGGATCCTCCCAGGAGAGGAGATGCATGTCGAAAGTAGACTATGGACTGAATATGTTTGCCACTCAATGCCTCTTTTGCAGACCACAACAGCCAAAAGGAGAGAGAGAACACAGGGGATTGCCCTGCCACAGAGACGGGGGGGATGGGGGTAGGGGGGATATTATCCATGGTGGTGGAAAATGGGCACTGGTGGAGGGATGGGTATCTGATCATTGTATAATCAAAACCCAAGCACAAAAAATTGTAAATCTAAAAAAAAAAACAAAAAACTGTGCTGATTATTTGAACCTACCAAATCTTGGTGTCTTTGGCTATCAGATAAATGTGACACTATGCTCTTCTCATAGAGTTATTGGGAAGATTAAATGAGGTATTGTTATATAAATAATTAGTGCCTTATACACAGAGCAGGCAGTCTGTCAGTAAATGTTGGAAGAAACTAAACTTGCCATAATATTGCTACTCATTTATATTCTCTTTCTGGATATTATGGGCCAATTATTTGCCCCAAGTCGTTCAGCTTGGTACCCTGACTAGACATCTTCTAGATGACCCCTTGACCCTAAGAAAACCTTTCCTCCAGCTCCTCAGTGACTATAACTCCTGGCAAAGTCTACGCTCAGTGGCCCTGTTGGATGCAACCAACCATTCTATACAACGTTCTGTGAGATAACTCTATATATGGGAGTGAGAGTATGAGGGATGCTTTTTGAAAAGATAAGGATAGGTAGCAGTAAATCACCGGAAGGCCAAAGGATCTCAACTCAGTGATTCAGATATAATGAACATGGTAGCAAGTGGTAGGGCACTCACCTTGCATGTAACTGACAGGGGTTCAACCCGTGGCACTCCATATAGTGCCCCGAGACCTATCAAAAGTTGTCTCTAAGCTAGGAATAAGCCTAAGCACAGCTGGAAGTGCACCCCTCCCACCCAAAACAAAGCAAACAAAAAGCAGGTTGGAGAAAATCCTGTGCTTTTCCACTGCACTTTTCTCCCTGGTATCTCACTTTCAAGTACAAGTACAGAGCACATTCCTTTTAAAGCAGTGGTAATAATATGATGACAAAGAGGACCTATGGCACTGGTCAGGAAGGAACCAGCTATGTCTGTGTTGGGGATGAGGCAGAAAGAGTTAGATTTAGATTAGGAATTAGAACTAGAGGAGAAAGCAGCCCATCCTTTTGGAATGGGTTTTATAGAAATGAAATCAGAAGAAGTAAAAGACGCTGGGTTATATTGTGTGAGAAAATGAGTACATGAAGAGCTGGAGCCTAATCACTGCATGAGAAGAAAGGCGTGTTGCGACTGGCCTCCCTAGTCTCTGCTGTTGAAGAAAAATAGTTCTGGGGCTGGAGAGAGTACAGTGGGAACGGCGTTTGACTTGCAGCAGCCTTCCCTGGTTCAATCCCCGGAACCCCCTATGGTCCCTTGAGCCCTGCCAGGAGTGATCCCTGAGTGCAGAGCCAGGAGTAAGCCCTGAGCACTGCTGAGTATAACCCTATAACCACCCCCCACACACACACACACAAAAAGTGAGTTTTGTTCAAGAATGAGAATTCCTGGTTTAGGTGACCCCTGCTGATGTCCAGTTAGATGATGAGTCGCTACACAGACATTGGTAAAGGCAGCAGGAGAGAAGGACATGAAATCATTGTGTCCTCTGGGACAATGTTGCTGTAGACCAAGGAATCCTCACATATGATTTTTTTTTCTTTTTCTTTTTGGGTCACACCCAGCAATGCTTAGCAGTTATTCCTGGCTCTGAACTCAGGAATTACTCCTGGGGGTGCTTGGGGGACCATATGGGATGCCAACGATTGAACCCGGGTCAGATGCATGCTAGGCAAACACCCTACCCACTGTACTATCACTCTGGCCCACATATGATTCTTAATAGGCTCTCAGGAGACTGGCAAACAGCGGTCTTGCTTTTCCTCCTCTATAGAGGGATAGCAGGAGAGCATAGAGGCTGGCCTGATTTAATCTTTGTTGTTCTTCCTTCCATTGTTTTAAACTCTTTCCCAGTCTCCTCTCTTCTTTTGTCTCTCGGGCCATCCTTTCTTTCCCAGATTTGTCACTGTCATCAGATTTGTTGCTGTGCTACCAAATGGGATCCAACGATAAAGGCCTCCCTGGTGATTTGCTTATAATGACATAGACTGGAGTACCTCATCCCTTCAAAGAATGCTGAGATACAATTGCGGGCAGGAGGGAAGAGCTGAAAATAAGTGGGCTCCTTGACTGCAAGGCAGGGGGTGAGGGGAAGTAGTTTAGAGTCTTTGGAAGTAGTTATATCAGGTAGTCGGCCAGAGGATTCAACAAGGCAAAAAAACTGGATATCTATTCTCAAAGAGTAGGCAGGAAAGTTTAGATACAATCAGAATAACTTGGGAGAGTTGAAAGGAGTTCGCCAACTTTGTGACTGGAACATGATTTTATAGGACAGCACATGGACTGTGGGCTACCTCTAAGCATTATATATATACATACATACATATATATATATAAATATATATTTGCTTTTTGGGTCACACCTGGCAATGCTCAGGAGTTGCTCCTGGCTTTGCACTCAGGAATCACCCCTTACAGTGCTCAGGGGACCATATGGGATGCTGGGAATCAAACCCAGGTCAGCCGTGTGCAAGGCAAACGCCCTACCTGCTGTGCTATCGCTTCAGCCCCTAAGCATTATATCTTAAGGAGACAGACAAAAAGGACCTACAAAATATATTTTTATGTAACAGTGGATAACTATTCAAGTCATATAATTGTTACGGTGAAGTCACCACAATTGATATTAACACATTGTCTTTCCATCACTGAACTTCTAGTGTTAGAATTCCTTTTCAGAATGCAACTCTTCTAATGTAGGACTCCCCAAATGTATCCGTCCATGTGATGATTACATTATGAAAGATACAATGGCAGGAGGGACTGGAGCAATAGTATAATTGGTACAACACATGCCTTGCATGTGAGACCCACGGGGATTCAATCCCTGATATCCCATATGGTCCCCCCAGCACCACCAGGAGTAATTCCTGAGTGCAGAAACTGGAGTAACACTTAAGCATAGCCAGGTGGGGCCCCAAAACAACAACAACAAGATACAATTTTGGAGCAGAGAGTAAAAGAGATCATAGGTTCATACACTAAGGGCAATGACTCCTGTGGAATAAGCACTGGAAACTACTGGGGAGTGTCTATTACCAATTCAGAGAAAGAATGGACAAGGCCCCTCAACTAGTGTTAAGTGAAGGGAAACTAGGTTTTTTTTGTTTGTTTGTTTGTCATGTAATATCAAGCTTAGTTGTAAACATTACAAACTGTTACTGGTCTAATAATTGCCTGGACCTTTTTTGGTTTCTGTCTTGGGATCACACTCAGCCATGCTCACGGCTTACTCCTGGCTCTGCACTCAGGGGTCTGCACTCCTGGCAGACTTGGGATACCATATATGGTGCCAGGGATCAAAGCTAGGTCCTCCATGAGCAAAGCAAACACCATACCTGCAGTACTATCTCTCTGGGGCTACACAGGCAGTGTTCAAGGGCTACTCCAACTTGGTGGTTGTCTCCAGTGGTGTTCAGATGACCAGGCTAGCACTGAGGGATACATGCAGTGCCTGGGGTCGAACTCATGCTTCCCACATGCAAAGCATAAGCTCCAACTCATTAAGTCCTCTCACCAGGCTTACCCTTGTTTTATAAGAGAAACACACCCCCTGTTCCACCCAAGGCCACAGAAACTGATGGTGACAGAGATGGAAAAAAGGCTCTTCTTTCTTTGTCTAATTCAGAAAGCTATCAAGCATATATAAAACTTGACTAGAAGACCATATATTTTATTTATAGGAACAAGTGATACAACTATTATCGAAGATAGATGAAACTAAATGACAGAAAAGTTAGATTTGATGTCCCCCTCCCATGCTTAATATTACTAACATACAATAAGGACTGTAGCACTGTCCTCCCGTTGTTCATTGATTTGCTCGAGTGGGCACCAGTAACGTCTTACAACAAATCATGAGACTTGTTGTTACTGTTTTTGGCATATTTAATACATCACGGGGAACTTGCCAGGCTTTGCTGTGTGGGTGAGATACTCTCGGTAGTTTACCGGGCTCTCTGAGAGTGGCAGAGGAACTGAACCCAGGTTGGTCGCATGTGAGGTAAAAGCCCTATCCACTGTGCTATCACTCCAGCCCACAATAAATATTTTTACTAACCACAGTTCTATTTATATTGTAATTAGGCACATGAGTTTAAATTAGGAGTCAGATGTTAAATGTATATGTCTGGTGACATTTTAAGAAAATGAAGTGGGAAAAGAAGGTTGCTTTTAAACAAGTGGTTTGAACTTTATCTGAGAGTTTGCACTAATGGGTGTTTCTTGAAGATCGCATATAAACTACTGAAGGAACACCAATGAAATGAAGTTTGTAATAAAAGGTTTCATTTAAATGGAAGGTACTGACTTAATATATTAGTATTGCCTAAGAGGAATACCATACTCACCCCCTTGGGATGGATTTAACAATGCCAGCATTGTATTTTTTTTCCAGGTTTGCTCCATATGAAATGGCAGTAGCAATTATTGTCTGAAATAAAACAAAACAGGTTTTTGAAAAAAAATCCATTTGTTTTAACAATTCCTTTGTCGTAAAACTAATGCTGACTGTTTTACTTACCACAATTACTTCTATAGGAATAGGGACTGGTATTTTATGTTTATATCGATCATTTATTTCTTTAACTACCATACAGATGATAATGGTTAGTAATCCAGCAATGAAATCAGCAAGATTGGTATCAGCAATATTTTGAAAAATGTCAATCAGAGTCTGTAAAAACAAATAATTTCATATACATTCCATATGAAAAATCATGATATCATCATCAAACAGCGCTGAAGATTTTTATGTAAAATCATAAAAGTATGTTGACTAACACAGAAAACATTGCATATGTATGTATTTCCAGTATTTTCAATGTTTATCTATATATTTACTTCTATATATCTATCTATGTGAAGATTAATAATGGTACCTTGGAGCCATAAATCTATGGGTAATTTTGACTTTAATTTTGCTTATCTGTATTTTAATCATAGAATAATAGTTTTTTTTAAAAACCTGTCCTTCACCACCTTTATTTATTTTTATTTTAATGACATTTTCTAAAATTTTATTTTATTTGTATAAAGTTGTTCCCAGTAATTTATTACATTCTATATTCCAACACCAGTCCCACTACCTTCCCACCACAACCTTTACTTGCTTCAAAAGTTTATATTTTCAAATGACTTTATAGGTGCTAATAAGTGGTACAATTTTCATTATATTGTTATAGTATTATTGTGACTAAATTAATAAGTCCCAAATAGTCAGTATTTTGCAGATATCATCTAAAAATATGAATGGTTCAGAAAATTATAAAAATACCCAAAATACTTTATATAGAGATAAATCTGGAAGATTAGGTTCTTTATGGCAAAAGGGAAGTTATAAATTGATATTAAACCAAGTATAACTTTTTGGAAATTAATTTAATGTTTAGTTCAAACTAAGACGACTGAAAGTAATTCTTTCCAAGTACAAAGACAAGCCTACTCAAGAAAAGCTAGCTTTGTTTTGTAAATAGAAGGTTTCTGGGAATCAAAGGAAATTAGGAAGGGAAAATCCCAGGGAAGAACACTAGTATCTTTGTTGTATCAACTTCAGTCCTGTAAAAGGCATGTCTTAAGAAAGTATTCCTCAATTCTTTGAGACAAGTTTTTTCCCAGGGAATATTACTTTTCTCTGAATGAGTTCTTTCATAAACATATTTTTATATAAAGAGGAAAATGGAATATTTTATAGTTTAGGTAACATGTATCTTATTTTTATAGACAAAGTATACTTAAAATAATTATAATAACAATCGAGTGACAATTATGGGTAATGGATATAAAGTACTCTAGATGTCATTTTGCCAGTAACCACATTTCTCAAGAAAACACTCAAGAGTAAAGAAATGAGGGAGGATTTATTAGGCAAGCAAAATACATGGCTGAACTCTAGTTCAAGGATTTGACTTGCAGAAAGTCTCTTGGACTTTTACTCAGGGAGTATTTTGGGTCTTGTTTTAAACCCAGTCCTGACAAGGTTTTATTTTGTCTCTTTGTTTTGTCTCTTTCCAGAATCAGTGAAATTTTATAGATGCAGATGTATTGATAGCAATAAAATGAAAAGAGTGATAGCAGAATGAAAAAGTGAAAATGGAGACTCTACCACAGCAGTCATCAAACTCAAGTGCTTGGAACACCCACCAGAGAAGCAAGCAGCCCCACATACCTAGAGTCTTTGCACAGTTTTTTTTTCTGATGATAATCCTTACAAATACATGAGCAGATTAAAATTTTAAATGATTTTGGCCATAGCAGTTAGGCAAGATAAAAATATCAAGGGCATACAGATAAGAAAGGAAGAGGTCAAGCTATCACTATATGTGGATGATATAATACTATACTTAGAAAATCTTAAAGACTACAAAAAGGCTCCTAGAAACAATAGGTTTGTACAGTAAAGTGGCAGGCTAAAAAATCAACACCCATGGCTTTCCTATATCCTTTTTCCTCAATAATGAAAAAGTAGAGATATTTAAAAAAAAATAATCCTGTTCACAATAGTACCTTGAAAACCACGTACCACAGAATCAGCTTAACTAAAGAGGTAAAGAACTTACACAAAGAAAATTACAAAACCCTACTTCAAGAAATAAGAGGGGACACTGGGAAATGGAGACACATCCCCTGCACATAGATCAGGAGAATTAACATTGTCAACAGATTTAATGCAGTTTTCCTATCAGGATACCCATGTCATTCTTCAAAGAAATTGACAAAACACTCCTGAAGTTTATATGGAACAATAAACCCCCCACAAAAAGCTAAAGCAATCCTTGTGGAAAACAAGATGGGTGGGATCACTTTCCCCAACTTCAAACAGTACTACAAAACAGTAGTAATTTAAATTGCATGGTATTGGACTAAAAACAGACCCACAGAACAATGGAACAGAACTGAATATCCTGTCACAGACTCTCAAATATATGATCACTTTATCTTTGATAAAGGAGCAAGAAATGTGAAGTGGAACAAGGAAAGCCTCTTCAACAAGTGGTGCTGGGAAAACAGGACAGCTATCTATTGAAAAATGAACTCTGACCTCTGTCTAAAGCCAGACACAAAAGTCAGATCAAAGTGGATTAAATACTTCAATATCAGAACTGAATCCATTAGGTACATGGAGGAAAATGCAGGCAGAACCCTCCATGACATTGAAGCTAAAAGCATCTTTAAGGATGAAACAACTCTGACCAAGCAAGTAGAAATAAATATAAACAAATGGGACTACATTAAATTAAGAAGTTTCTGAACCTAAAACACACACACACACACACACACACACACACACACACACACACATATACACACACAGTGACCAAAATACAGAGAGAGTCCATGAAATGGGAAAGTACATTGCCCAATACCCATCTCATAAGGGATTAAGGTAAAGGTAAAGGTAAAGGCCCTCCCATTGATCGTCGATTTGCTCGAGCGGGCCCAGTAACGTCTCCATTGGAGACTTTGTTGTTACTGTGTCTGGCATATCGAATACTCTCGGTAGCTTGCCGGGCTCTCCGAGAGGGGCAAGGAGGAATCGAACTCGCGTCGGCCATGTTGGCCGCGTGTAAGGCAAACGCCCTACCCGCTGTGCTATTGGAGCGATAGCACAGTGGGTAGGGCGTTCGCCTTACACGCGGCCAACATGGCCAACCCGAGTTCGATTCCTCCGCCCCTCTCGGAGAGCCGGGCAAGCTACCGAGAGTATTCGATATGCCAGACACAGTAACAACAAAGTCTCCAATGGAGACGTTACTGGGCCCGCTCGAGCAAATCGACGATCAACGGGAGGGCCTTTACCTTACCATAAGGGATTAATATCCAGGATATACAAGACACTAGCAGAATTGTACAAGAAAAAGCTTCCAACCCCATCAAAAAATGGGGAGAAGAAGTGAACAGAAGCTGCCTCGAAAAAGAAATACAAATGGCCAAAATACACATGAAAAAATGCTCTACATCCCTAATTATCAGAGAGGTGAAAATCAAAACAGCAATGAGATGCCATTTTACACCACAGATACTGGCACACATCCAAAAGAACAAGAACAACTAGTGCTGGTACAGACAAGGGAAAGAGACACTCTCTTTCACTGTTGTTGGGAATGCTGATTGGTCCACGTTTTTTGGAAAACAATATTGGCATTCCTTAAAAAACTAGAAATTGAGCTTCCATATGACCCTGCAATACCACTTCTGGGAATATATCATGAGGGTGCAAAAAAGCACAGTAGAAATGACATCTGCACCTGTATGTTTATCTCAGCACTGGTAACAATAGACAGAATCTGGAAACAACATCAGTGACCGAGAACAGATGACTGGTTAAAGAAACTTTGGTACATCTACACAATGGAATACTATGCAGCTGTTAGGAAAGACGAAGTCATGAAATTTGCTTATAAGTAAACGGTCATGGAGAGTATCATGCTAAGTGAAATGAGTGAGAAAGAGAGGAACAGACATAGAATGACTGCACTCATTTGTGGAGTATAAAATAACATAACATGAGACTGACAACCAAGGACAGTAGACCCAAGGGCCAGGAATATTGCTCCATAGTTGGAAGCCTGCCTCATGAGCTGGGGGAGAAGACAGCTGGGATGGAGAAGGGATCACTAAGTCAATGATGATTGGAGGGATTGTTCGGAATATTGTTTGGAGGATGTGTGCTGAAAGTAGATAAAGGACCAAACATGATAGCCTCTCAGTAACTATATTGCAAACCATATGCCCCAAAGTAGAGTTTATGGAGGAAAGTGTCTGCCTTAGAGGCAGGGGGAGGATTGGGATGGGTTGGGAGGTACTGGGACATTTGTGGTAGAAAATGTGCACTGGTGGAGGGATGGGCGTTTAATCATTGTATGACTGAAACTCAAAAATGAAAGTTTTGTAACTGTATCCCATGGTGATTCAATTAAAAAATTCAATATATCAAAATTTATGTAACACAGTAAAAATATTAACTATGTTGGCAAACAAAATTTAAAATATTTAAAATATTTTTAATGATCCATACAATAAGGGTTTATTTGCAACTCAACATGACAAAATTCAGAATTAAAAAAAAAAGAATAATCATTCTGATGCTCTACTGGGTTGGAGCGATAGCACAGCGGTAGGGTGTTTGCCTTGCACGCAGCCAACATGGCCGACCCGAGTTCGATTCCTCCGCCCCTCTCAGAGAGCCTGGCAAGCTCTCCGTGACGTATTCGATATGCCAAACACAGTAACAACAAAGTCTCCAATGGAGACGTTACTGGGCCTGCTTGAGCAAATCGATGATCAACGGGAGGGCCTTTACTTTACTTTTAATCATTCTAATAAGATACTACAAAAGTTAGCATAACCAGATTCCTGTTTTATTGAGGTCATTTAGACCTATGAATTTAAAGGACCTCAATTTTTACCTAAAAATTATTAGTAGTATTTATTACAGTTTACATAATATGGTTACAAATTTGTTACCATTTATGAGTAAGGAGAGGCTGCTAAAATCTCAGGGCTGGGAGGAATGGAGACATTACTGGCACCCGCTCAAGTATATCAATGTACAATGGGATGACAGTGGTACTTGATACAGTGATGTTTTTAAAAATTAATTAATTAGGGGCTGGAGCTATAGCACAATGGGCGGGGGGTTGCCTTGCACGTGGCCAACAGGGTTAAACTCCTAGA